CAACTCGTAGAGACCCTGTAGAACAGAGTAGAACTATTCCATAGGTTCCAAGGTTTTTAAATCTTTATGGAAGCAGATTACCCCATTTTTCTCCGTGGAACAGCTGGTGGGTTCAAACAACCAGCCATTAGTGTTACCAAATGAGATCTTTAAGCACTGTGCCATCAGAGCTCCTTTTGTATTTCAAAGGCCTTGCTAAATGTTGGGACACTGTCTTCTGAATAGTTTGTGTGGAATACCCATTGTATCAGAGGAAGGGGGTGGGGGGGAATGTGTGTGTGTGCCTGAAAATTTTCCAGCATATTTGGACTAACCTCAAGCACTGAGATCTCTCTCCTTCCTGTCATTGAAGACACCCTAATCCTGATGTGGCCAAGAGCCTCACAACCAACATAATGCAAGACTAGGTCTCTATGATCCTCCCTCAGCTAGTACTTTCTTTATATAACCTGTGTCCATTTGCATTACTCAGGGTGACAAGATTGTCAGTAAATACTGAACAGTCTCTGAATTAGAAGTGATACATTGCCAGTTATATTCAGGTCATTAGAGGAGGTCTGCTTTCACATTGAATAGAGAACTTGCTTTGTTCATCAGAATATGCCATATGCTGAACCAAGATCTGGCTCCTAACCTATAGGGGACAGCAGAAACTTCCAAATGTCCCTTGTCATTAGAAAAGAGGCTTCGGTTATAAAAGTTGGCAACCATTTCTTGACTAGGTATTATGTGCCAGGCATTGGACAATCATTTATTACCTCATTTTGTCCTCACATTAACCTTATGTTATTGCTTCTGTAAATTTATGTAGCTATTCAGTGACAAATTTGAACTAAATTTCAAGTGTGTCTGACCTCTCAGCCTATGTTTTTAATGGCTCTGCTCTTTTCTCACGCCCTTTCCCTCCAGAGATCTCAAGGACAGGTATTTAGGGATCCCTCATTATTCTTCCTTCTCTTGAGGCAAAGTGTTTCATGGCATCTTTGGAACTGAGGCCATTTGTGTATCCGTTTGCTTTCTAATAAAGCAGAAGTTTCTTTGTGGGAAAGAATAGTTTACGTATGTAGGAGCTATTTTGAAATAGGTAGATAATTCCTGGGCTGTGGAGTTCTTCTTGGTCCCAATAACTTGGTCCAGGGAAAAGCTATTTATCCCTTAGGATGATAGCTTTCCACTCAAATTTTATTTTCTCTTCAAGAACTCAGAACTGCCATTCTTTTTTTTTGATTGTTTTATTGGGAAAAGCATATTGGGGGTACAAGGAGGTGAGGGTTAGGGGAAGAAGGGTGAGGATGGGCCAGGATGCAGTTGCAGAGCTGCACAGTTTGGTCAGTGGGGGGGAGCAGGTGAAAGAAATGATGAGGGTCCAGTGGGGACCAGATGCTACAGAGGAATGACAAGCATTTTCCAATAGTAATTAAACCA